CGATATGGTCTGGAGGAGAAGTCTGTTTCCAGTTTGAAAGAATATATTTTGGGAAGTTGCCAGATCATCCCTGGATTAGCAAGGTCTGGAGGAGTCTGTTCCAGATTCCTCCAAAATATTCTTCTCACAGAAGGAGAGATTAGGTATATACCTGAAGTATGCATATATACAAGATGATTCCAAATGGATAGGAAACCTGATTGATGAAAGTTCCCATTTTCATGGAGCACTCTGCCAAATGCACAGATTACTACTTGGCCAATACCTGCATTTGCGTGGACTGCATACAGCTAGTAAGCCGTATCCTGCTTCAGCCTCATTGATTTAAATGCCCTATTTTGAGCATGTAATGTCCTACACTGAGCAGGAAGTAAAGCATGCATCCATTTTTAACCCAGGAAAAGCTGCACTTTTCCCTGATGTCCCCAAACGATTGTCCTCATTGTTTGTATGGATCTGAGTCTTCCAATAAAAGCAGTATTTCAGCCAGGAAATCAGCATCAACTCTTCCTGAATCAAATTAAGTGTAAATTTGAATGTAGACATTTGCATGTAGATAATGGGCCAGGGCATGTGTTTTTCAGAAAAGACCTATCATTAACACTCATACATCTTGTTCCATGTAAACAAAATCAAGGTACCTCTTTTAGGAGCCATTGTACTAAATAAACCTTTTACTACTGTAACAACCACCTTAAGATGATACAGTCTATTATACTAAATAAATGGAATAGGAGAGAACTTGAAATAGGATTCTAAAATTTCAAGTTTATGAATTATAAGACTTCACTACCAATACATATGTGCGCTACCAAAATTGGGAGCATTTATGGTAGTGTCAGAATAATTTGTGAGCTGGTTATGCTGGTTTTTGTTTGTTTGTTTTACTAATATATCAATAAACTGGCAATTTGTTATCGAGCTAAAAAAATCCAGCCCAGGATAGCTGATGTTCACTCCAACAACAAAGACAGATGTTGCTAATTAAGTGTGCATTAAAAAACAGTTAATACTGATACTTCATTAAAGCCATATGATAATGAGACTTAAATCTTTAATCAGAAGGATCCAAAAAGCTGGGCATATGTGAAACTTGCTACACTTACTTTTTTTTTTTTTTTAAACAAAACACAAGTTTACTTGTGAGTCAAGTTGTGGGGAATATAAATGAATTCTTTTTAATTGTGTGTGTCGGTGTGTCATTGTAATGGAGAATTTGTTCTTTTCTTTTAGCAAACATTCCATACTCCAAGTCTTGGAGATGAAGAGTTTGAGATTCCACCAATTACACCCCCACCTGAACTGGATCCCACTAATTTAGGGATGGCTGATGTTCTCCTGCCTTTTCAAGGCCTAAGTGATCAGTTGGTGGCTCAAGGAAACGAGTTCACCCCTCAGTTTCCACCACAAAGCTTGGATCTTCCTTCCATTACAGTATCTCGAAACCTGGTGGACCAAGATGGTATTATCCAAAGCAATGGATTACATATGGTAGGAACAGTTGTTCTTAATCTTTTGGCTACCAACCTATTTTATTGCAGCAAATAAATGTAGTGATGTGAACGATTCAAGCTGTGTTAGTCTCTTGTAGTATAAACACATTACGGAAATCTGAAGAGTAAGAAGCACACTATCGTGTAAGTATAATGGTTCGCCCTTCACCATGCGTCTGGTGGCCAAAAGCTATGGTGGTCTTTAAGGTGCTACAAGACTTTTGGGGGTTACTGTTGTGGACTGAACTTAACTTTGATGTTGCTATTTTAATAGCCAGCTGGGAAACATTAGAAAATACCAAGTTGTATAATGATTACTCAAACTTCTCTAGCACAGATTCAGAGGCAGAAAAAGGCACAGTGGCTTGAATAAAATACCTGTTTGCAGCTCTTTAAAGCAGCTGCACATTGTCTTCCTGCAGCTGCGGCATCATGCCAGGAAAAGACACATTTGTGTAAGGAGTTGTGGTGTATTCACACCCATGTGTGTTCTAAAGCACTTCTGTGCATTTGAGCCTGAAAGTGCACAGTCATATGCAAGATAATATATATATTAAAAATATCATTTTTATTACACTGTTATAACTCTTCATACATTATATTATTTCAGTACAAGGATATTTGCACAGTTATTCTATAGTTTAGATAACTTGGAGTATTGGAAAAAGAGAAAAAAGGAAGATATGTTCTATCAATATTAGTTACAATTTAGAATATCAATATTGCAAGCATAAAATTATTTAACTTTTTCATACAAAATTGAGTATAACGTTAGAAAGGAGAAACTGCTGCAGATTACCTCAAAATGTTTATTACATGATGTAGGCTTTGGTCTTGAGCCAACTGCTTAATATTGAAGTATCTATTATATAATTGCTTTATATATACAAGGTATTATATTTTTAAGAAACTTTGAGAAGCTATTCTAATATTCATTTGTCAATCCAAGCCTATACATGTCTTTTCAGAAGTATGTCCTTCGTTCCAAAAAGGTTTCTACCAGATAAGTGAATATGGACCTGGTGACATTATTTTCTTACAAAACTGTAGTGTTGAGAACAAGAAATGTGACAGATTTCAGATCAGAAAAGAGTACAGGAGATGGGTGGACTTAATAACCAGGTCACTCAAACAAGATCATTAATTTTTAAGAATATTCATTGCTTTATTTATTAAATTTAAAACTCATGTTGGGACGGTGTCAATAAAAACATTAAAAGTGATTGATAAAAAGAAACAAAAGATGACATGACCCAACCGAATATTTGTTCCTGGGGTCTAGAAGAGTCTTGAATATCGCTGATTGATTTACTCATTTCTTTTTCATATTTGCCGAGGTGTTTGCTTTAATCGTTACTATTATTATTTCAATTTGTATGGCCACACATCTCATCTAAGTGACTTTGGGCAGCTCACAACAGATTGAAAACAACAATCCAATAAAAACAAGTTTAAAAAACAAATATAAAAAGATATCAAAACCATCCATAATAACTTTAAAACAAAAATAATCATGATCATTGGCAGACTCCATCCTTGAGCTGATGCTCAACACAGCTATTGTAAGAGCTCCCCACCATCTCCGGACACCCAGACGCTGAGGCACAACCATTTCTTTAGGACCTTCTTAGTTTGGGATTGTGGGATTGTGGCTTTCAGATGTCCAGGATGTGGATGTGGAACAACAACAACAACAACAACAAAATGCAATTACATTTTTTACATACAGGCAACTTCAGCTGTTTGGAACACAGGAACAAACACTGTTTCTAGAACATTTATTGGTCAGCAAATGGATTCTTTTTCGGATGAACTTTGTAAGGAGGATATAGAATCATGGAGGCTGATTTAAGCATCCATTCTTTAAAGAATCAAATAAAATTTGGATTGAGGAGCATGAGATCAAGTGGGACCATCTGAGAAGAAGACCAGTGTAGTGCAATACTGGGTGAAACATTTGATTCCCCTTGCATTTATTTATAATATCAATACCACATTATTTCCAAGGGGATGTTTCCCCCTCTCTCTTGCATTTTATCCTCCTAGTAACTTTCTAAGTCAGTCTTGGTCATAAGATCTTATATAAGCTTTCAGAAGTTTTTATCCAGTCTCTAACTATCCCTTTCTAGAGAACATTATTGAAAAGTTGGTTGGGGTGTTACAGAGGGTCCTGGAATGTATGGTTTATCTAGACCCTTTCATTCTGTTGTCATACTAGGACACAGTACTGAGAAAGCAATGGTCACACTTGTAAATGACCGTTGGTGGACTCAGAACAGGTTTAGGGCAACTGTCCTGGCTCTGTTTGATCTTTTGGTGGCTTTCAGTACCATTGACCATGGTATCCATTCTGGACCACGTGTGGGGATAAGGAATGGGGACACAACGTTCTGATGGTTCTACCTACTTTCTTTATGGTTAGTTCTGGTCGGTGTTGATGGAGGGAAGAGATTGAGCCATAGGCCCCTCTTACGTGGAGTGCTTCAAGGCTTGATCCTTTTATCCCTCTTCTACATGAAGTTGCTGGGTAAGGTCATCCATCAGTTTGGGGTCCAGCATCATCTGGGGGTCTTTGTGGATTCATAGCTCCTGCTTAAAAAGTAGGTGGCAGCTGTGTTCGGGAAGGCTTTTGCACAAGGTCACCTTGTGTATGAGTTGTCCTCATATCTGGACAAGGAGGCCCTTTAGACAGTTACTCAAATTTTGTGTCTGGACTATCTCAGTTTGCTTTACATGGGACTGTCCTTGAAGACCACTTGGAAGCTGCAGCAGATTCAGGATTTAGTGGCACAGGCAGTTATGAACATGCCACTGTGTGCCCATATATCACTTATGCTTCATGAGCTGTACTGGTTTCTGTTTGGCTTCCAGGTGCAATTCCAGGTGTTGGTTATCATTTATAAGAGATGGGTGGTGTCCAAATTTGAAATATAAATAAATAAAATAAAATAAAGCCCTTCATGGCATAGTATTATTTGAGTAGTTTCTGCCCTTTCCATACATTCTGACAGAGTTGGCATGCTCCAGGTCCTATGGTTAAACAGTGTCATCTGGTGGCACCCAGGAAGGAAGCCTTCTCTGCCATGGTGCCTGCCCTCTAGAATAGGACATAGCAGAGGTCCTTTATCTGCTACACTGATGACACCCAAGACATGGATTCCCATAGTTTCCTTATACATCTTTTGCTTGTTTTGCAAGTTCAGCTACTGCAAATGCAAATGATGCTTAGGTAAGGAGAAACTGTATACATGGCAAGAGTTAGAAGAAAAGATTATCAATATTTTCTATATTTGTGTGCCTTCAAGTCATTGTTGACTCCTGGACTAGTCCCTGCAGTTTTCTTGGCAAGATTTTGGAAGTGGTTTGCCATTGCCTTCTTCCTAGGGCTGAGAGAGAGTGACTGGCCCAAGGTCACTCAATTGGCTTTGTGCCTAAGACAGTTCTAGAACTCATAGTCTCTCAGTTTCTAGCCTGATGCCTTAACCACTACACCAAACTGGGTCTCATTACCAATATTACCAAAGTGTTAATTCATTTAATAGGATAAATGATGGTACAGTGTGACATGGAAATATAGTGTTAAAATTGTGCCCCCTTCAAAGTCAAAGTGGATGAAAAAAATTGAAAGATAAATATCTTAACCTGGCAAAATGGTCAATTGAAAATAACCAGATTTTCTACTGAGTTCCTATGCCTCTTTAAGATTAACATCATCCTGAATATTAAATTTATATTTCAAAGATGTGGTGATACATGCCTGTCATTATTTATTTAAAATATGAACTTTATGAAACCGATAAATATTTATTAATAATAAAATTCCTTTATTTAAATTGTATATTTTATGAATTACCTTTCCTTGGAGCCATTTTTTTTTATTACTGCAATAAAAAAAACGTAAAAGAGGCATTTTAACTATGAAATTTCATTTCACGGTCAATTGGGTTTGCTGTATCTGAAAGAACTAACTATGGGGCCATAAAATAATTATGATATTAATCTACATTCGTACAACGCCTGCATGCAGCAGTGTTGAACTTCTCAAATTTTATTGCATCTTTGTTGTCAAGTTGTTAAAACAGTATTGATAGTTTAGTCACAGATTTTAAAGATACTACAAATATAGTTTCGGTATTGGGTAAGATATATTGAAACTGGAATAATTCTGGGAATCTCAGGGTGGCATCCATGGGCTTCAGTGTCCGACCTATCATGGAGCTTGCTGAGACCCCTGCTCCAATAATTATTGCTTTTAAAGAAAATTAAAAAGGTAGCCTACCATGCTGTAAAGAGGAACATCATCTTCCAGAATAGCCTGCATTACCAAAAATATTCTTGGATTCCACACATAGTCATTCTGAGAAAATAAAAATGACGAATGGCTGCCAACAGAGTTAAGATGGTAGGGAGACTGATAGTGAATAACCTGTGAACTACAGAATGTTAGGCAACAGATACATGTGATGGTTGCCACACCCCCTGTGGCACACACAACATGTTCTCCTCATGTCAAGCATGCCCAATGGCCTAAATGTATTGATTTTATTTACTGCAGTTTATATGCCACTCAACCCAGCAGTGCTCACAGCAGCCTCCAAAATCAAATCAAATAAAGACCATCATTCATGGTATCAGAAACAAAACAGCAACACTTCAAGAACAGTCACAACATCTAAACCTCTAGTAGAAGGGTTCCGTTCATCACCAATCTATTCTCAAGATCTCTGGAAAAGCCAGAGTTTAGTTACTTTCTGAAAAACCAGCAGGATGGGAACCATTCTAATCTCTGGAGGAACATTGTTCCAAAGAAGGGGGCAGTTACCAAGAAGGCCCGTTCCTGTGGTCACTGAAGATGACATCCCTTAAGAAAAAGGAGTGGGAAAGAGCCCACCACCCTGGTCTTTCTGAGCAGGCAGAAGCTACTGAGAGAAGGCAGTCCCATGGAGATCCAGGTCTAAGCCACGTCGAGGAGCTCTGGAAGAACGTAACTTTTTATAT